CGATCCACAGCTCAGAGTTGTAGTATTTCCTCAGCAACCAGCACGGATCAGCTCCAGGCCTGACAAAGCAGATACCGTCCTCTTTTGGAAGGCCAAACAAAGTAGTTTCGCTTTCACAACGAATCACACAGTGCCTTCACGACATGGCGGCGGCAACAACAATACAACAGCGAGAATAAAAGTTATGCCTTCTTTCTTTGCGTGAACATTTGGGTGGCGTTATGCAAATCTTCCCACATCGTGACGTAGACATGTGGGGGTGTGTTAGAACGAGCCGTTTTAGGTAGGCGTGGTTGACTCTTAACTTTTATAAAGAATATCTCTTTGGATTTGAGACTTTAGTCTTTGCAACTTTACAGATCTTCTTTATGCACCAAGAGCTTGTAACACTCCAAAGAGAAAGGAAAAATTGAAATCGCATCATATGACCCCTTTAATGCTTAGAACAGTGCAAATACAAACACCATTAGAAACTCATAGTTCAGCATCACACACCATGATATGGGTTAAAATGAGAGCCCATTTTTCTCCAAAACGGTGCCAGTTTAAGCGTTTTGCAATAAAGAAATAAAAATGACTAAACTTGATAATTTATGATACAATTTTAAAGGGGTCATATGATGCGTATAAAAGCAAAATTAAGTTAAAATTAGACTTTCCAAAAATAAATTCTGACTTTCTTCCTGTAAGTAGCACAGAAACTAATACCAGATAGGCTAATCATTAGACGCAAGAGCTCAGCTCAAGGAAATTGTCATCCCATTTTCATCCAAGGTCATTCCAAGGTCCAACAAACAAAATGCTCCAGATTTCATATTTCAGAAACAAGGCTTTTAGGGCTGCTGGACGAATGCCAGCCGGCTGATACAGCTGATACACCACTGGAGATCAAGGTGAAAATGGAAACCAAAGGACACCTGGGAAATGCCATGAGCTTTTTTTCTCTTTCTTTCTTTTGGGATATGACTTTGAATGTATGCATTGCACAGGACAGATAGGAAAGGAACAAATATCTGAACTGGGGTGATAACAATGTGGTGGAACTTTTTATCTAAAGCTATTTACAGACCAACTAAACTGTCCCCCTATGATTAATTGAGGTGTATGTTACTGGGGAGAACATGATAAGACAGGACTGCTATCAGCCTCTGAAACTGTCCTAGATTAGTACAGCATTAGTCAGGTCACAACACAGTCATGATATCACTAGTGATTTACTATTTTCTGCAGTCTCAGAAAATATTGTTTCTAAAATGAACAGAATTGGACTGCATAGTAACTTCATATTGGTCGATGTAGTAAATAGCTAAAATCAACTTGCTAATTATTAATACTACTTAAAGTGTCAGAGTTTTAGTAATTAATTAAGCTCTCACTGATTAATAAATGTTGCAAGTTTATCTCAACCATTAAACACATGTTTGCTTTTTTTTAAATAAGATTATCCAGGTTTTTTTTTTAGTCATAAATATGTGCTATTTTTACAATATAATTAGGTCAATGTGTAACAGAGTTGTACATATATATTGTGTGTCTCCACTTGCTAAGAAGGTTAAATAATCACACTGGAGGATGATTGGACAGAATAAGGGTTTACAGGGCTTCCTATTGGCTGGCTGGTGCTTTGTGCGCCCTCTATTGCACTTATCAGTTCATGTGTGTAAGGCCAGCGGCAAGTCGTGTGGTTGATAGCTCTGTAATTCTGGCTGTAATTGTGTCAATGAAAAGTGTGATATATTAAGAGCAACAACACACACACACACACACACACATATATATATATATATATTCAATATCGAGAAAAGTGTCGGATGTGAAGAGTGAAAATTGTGTGTTTTATTATAGCGCCAGCACGAGGCGTCGAATATGCTGGAATAGGCCTATATCAACTCACTCTGTGTTACTGTGTTTTCTCAGTGAATAAATTGATGAATGAGAGACGATTTATTGAAGCACGAGCTTTATTGCCACAACACAACGCAAAGAGGATAAGAGACCAGTTACATAAGCAATTGTATATACAAATTTTCTTTTTTGAAAACAAAGGTTGATTAGTCCATAAAACTCTCTAAAAATAGTGAACACAATCACTTGTCTTTTTGAAAAAAAGTCTTTGCATATAGTAATAAGCTAAACGTCCTTTGTTTGCAAAAAAATCTGAAGGACATTTAGTTGCTTTTGGTAAACTGAACAATGTAATGCCTATTTCTTACCTTTAGATGGAGACACTGCACACTAATGCTGTATAAACCTCCTTGACATCATATTTTGCTGGCAGTCATAACTTCAATCAAATAATCAATGCTGTCATTTCCTTTATAAATCTCAGGAAAAAAGTAAGTAAACTTACAGATAAATATGCATTTAACTAGCAAATCTCTAAAGGGTAATTCAATGTTGATACATATTCAATAAACAGTATTGATTGTCTGTTATCTTTTGATATAGTTCCTGAAGGACCAGCTTTCCCAAGGCTTTTGAAAGTGAAAAGACACAAAGGTCTAACTTTCATAAAATAAAATGAGGCTCTTTGTCCTCAGCCATGATCTGATTTCAAATAACAACTTCATGTTATAGGCTACAGCACACAATAAAGTCGTTAGCCTAATAACTCCTCAATAAGTGTGATTCCATAGGTGCGTAATTAAAGGGGTCATATGATGCGATTTCAATTTTTCCTTTCTCTTTGGAGTGTTACAAGCTCTTGGTGCATAAAGAAGATCTGTAAAGTTGCAAAGACTAAAGACTCAAATCCAAAGAGATATTCTTTATAAAAGTTAAGAGTCAACATAGCGCCGCCCAAATGTTCACGCAAAGAAAGAAGGCGTAACTTTTATTCTCGCTGTATTATTGTTGTTGCCGCCATGTCGTGAAGGCGTTGTGTGTTTCGTTGTGAAAATGAAACTACTTTGTTTGGCCTTCCAAAAGTGGACGAAATCTGCTTCGTCATGCCTAGAGCTGATCTGTGCTGGTCGCTGAGGAAATACATCAACTTCGCGCTGTGGATCGTCGGATCGGCTTTCACCGTGGATGAAGCGGAGTCCAGCCCGGGGTCGCCAGCTCGCCACATGTGGTTGCCGCAAGCCCGCCCGCCTCCGCTCACTCAAGCCACCGTGTGTGACGCTGTGTTTCATTGTGAAAGCGAAACTACTTTGTTTGGCCTTCCAAAAGAGGACACGACTAGAAATCAGTATTTACGACCCTGTTCCAGAACAGTTCAACCCAAATATTCAGATGTGTGCAGTGCATTTTATGTAGGACTGTTTCCTGATCCTGGTAGAGTAGACTACAATGCCAGCTGTTCTGACTCACAGACTGTAAGTATGTTTTTTATATATAAAGGATTTGCCACTGATGATTCAAACGCGAGTTTTGAGCAGTGTAGAGTAGCGCTTGTTGTTTGTCATTTCTCCGATCACAAATACAGACATGGTTTTATGTTTACGCGGCGCAATGCAATGCAATGTGTAAAAAGACAGTATAAGTCATTATAATCCGTAATTATGTCCCCACTGGTTTTTGTCAATGTTTTTGTCTCGTCGCTCCAGCCGGGACAAAATCGACACGTTTCAGAAAGGCGGGGCATAGAGGAGAAACGATGTACAGTATGTGGAAAATAATGTGTTTTTTGAACCTTAAACAGCATAAAAACATTTCATTAAACCAAATACACAAAATAATGTTCTTTTTAGCAACATCAAATGACCCCTTTAAATTCACACTCTGGAAGATGAGCTCCGAAAATAAGCAGCAATCAAGATGATGTATAATAATGCGTTTTCAATTGTCAGTCACAGGTTTGCCACCAGAGATCATTCATTAGACTCCTTGCTAATATGATCTCTAATTAATCATTGTCAATTATTTCTAATCACTTCATCACTTCTCACTTTACTTTTTGCCTTTTCGTTCATTCTTTGCTTTTTTGTGCTTGGATACTTTGTAATAAATGACAAAAAACACATGCATTGGGATGATGCTTCTCCAGAGCACTGCAGTCTGGCCTGTTCTTACCACATTCAGTCATACATTTTTTGTGGCCTTTGAACTACAAGAAACATAGCCATATGAAAGCAACGTGAAAGTGTGATACTTTGTTTATTGAATTAAGTTGGAGACATGTCTTCTGAATCATCCAAGAAGAAATTGGTCATTAAAAATAACCAAATCATGGTTCTGACTGTAATCAGAATATAGGCACATGTTTGATGAAATTGTTAGGGAAATCTGTCAGGCTAGGATTTATCTGTAAAATCAGTAGGCCTACATAGCTGGGGCTCTGGTTAAGGGCATCTACCAGCAAGATAACGTTCTGCAACTAACCAGCCAAACCATGACTTTGAAAGTCTGTAGTGAAATAACCTAGATAGTTTTATTAATAGGCTAACCACAAAACCAGTCATAAGTCACACAGGTATATTTGTAGCAATAGCCAAAAATACATTGTATGCCCTCACTGTCGAGGTAGACAGGCACTCGGGAAGCTTATGAGACCACTTAGAGGGCTTCCCGTTGAGTACACACTATGAGCAAACCATGGTGCAAAAACAGTTATTTTGAGGAAATTGATACATTTAAGATAAAGATACAATAATTTGCAGCATAGTTAAAAGATATTGTTAATGCTATTCCTAATTAAGGCCCTTGGTGAACCTTTACTATGAGTTTGTTTGTAATGATGATTAAATGTGAACATTGTTTAAGTACCACTAAATGCTCCTCAGATCCCTGTAACTTTACAATGAGATCCAGCAGTCTCTTTACCTCTGCAGTGTGGCCATCGACAGCCTGAATGTGGATTTCTTCTGATATAGCACTCTATACACTGGCTGAAGAGTTCCTTGGAGCAGGATTCTGGCCTCATAAGTGCAGAAGGCAAACCGCTGACCATGCCTTTCAAACATCAACCAGATTAATCTAAAGTACTGCCAAAAGGACAGGCTAATAACACATATTGTGGTGCAACCAAGCAATGAGCCCAGTTTAATTATGAAAGATGATTTATACTTAACTAATATGCTAAAACAATGAGTATCAAACAAGTTTTCACACTAATACAGTAAGCTACAGGTAAATCTGACACATCTCACATCAACATGCTTTTATCATCTTTTTAAGTTTAATTAATGTGCTGGCTAGATTTACTTATTGTAGTCATTATGTCAACAACGTTTAGCTTAATCATGGCCACGAATTAAGAACATCGGTAATAATCAATAAAACTAGCAATCGGGAATTCATTATTATTTCTTAGCAGTTCTCACGTTGGCTACGTAAACTTTGCATCGTTTTAAGGTTATAAAATAAAACTTAATTGAAAATCGGTAAAGTTACTCACTCTGATTGCTCTCTGAAAAGAATAGGGTCCTAGAACTGCGGTCCTGAAACTGCAGCCTCCGGTTGTGCGGGAACATACTATTGAATTATTCACACATCTTGTTGATTCCTGTTTCAACACAAAAGCAATACTCCGCAATAGCAGTTGTGTCTTCATTCTGAGAATCATTGTCCACCCATGAACGTGTTACTATGAAGCAGGGAGGGAACACCAAGCATTTCGCGTCTCCTTATAATGAATGAAGCCACGCCAAAGATTCAAATAAGTCAGTGTGTTTCATTGTGACGTATGAAGCCTCAGACGTCATTGGTCAAGTGATCACAGATATTTGATACAAGCCTCAACACAGTCTTTCGAACCAGTCTGCTTCAATAGAGTAAAACAGGCTTTGGAGCCTCAGTGTCAAACGTCCCATCTCTAGTCCCAAAAAGCTAAACCACTTCAGAAAAGCACTGCAGCAGAGGAGATACATTTGTCCTTGATCTTCATTGCTTGTAAGGAATAGAGGTTAAAACAGAATTCTCGCACAGGATTATGCTCAATCAGCAAAAACTGCACTTCCATAACAAACTCAGTCAGAAAAGCCTTGCCTAAGTTCTCTTTGTGCCAAGGTTAATGGAAGAAGGGATAGCCATGGCATAGAGGAAATGAAACCTGTGGAAACAGCAGCAGTATAACAAGATCAACATCACTGAGAATTACTACAATACTATATACTACAATAAGCCCAGACTTTTTTATAAAGAGTACGCCCAATAAAAACTAAAACTTGTGGTATTGATACGCAAAAATCGACTTTGGCGTGCATATGATACGCACGTGTTTGGCATGCATATAATATGCAGTTTTCGCGTGCATATGATACAAAATTTGTTGCTGTGCATATGATACTCAGTTTTCACGTACATATGATACGCATACCCCACAACCCTAATCCTACCCATTGCGTATCATATGCACGGCTAATTTTGCATATAAACAGTAGGCCTACGCCAAATCGAAACATAAACTCATGCTATTGATATGCACTTTCATGAGATCGGGTTGACTACAATACATTCTAAAAGCTATTCAATTTTTCCAGTTAATTTCTGCAGTGCATTTTGGGAGTTGAAGGCTTCAGACAGAAGGCAAACGGAGATTTTGAGTAACTGAAACATTTAAGCGGTCAAATTATGCACACGGTTTGTTGTTCAGTTCCATTCTTCCATTGTGCTATTGATATGCACTTTCATGAGATCGGGTTGACTACAATACATTCTAAAAGCTATTCAATTTTTCCAGTTAATTTGTGCAGTGCATTTTGGGAGTTGAAGGCTTCAGACAGAAGGCAAACGGAGATTTTGAGTAACTGAAACATTTAAGCGGTCAAATTATGCACACGGTTTGTTGTTCAGTTCCATTCTTCCATTAAGAATTTAATATAATTTGCATTTTTAGTAGTTATCTATTAAACTATTTTTATTTTTTTTATTTTACTTGTTAAGTTTTGTTGACATGTTTAGTAACTTCCTTACATTTTTCCTAAAAGATGTACAATGTTCGTTATTGGTAACTAACACAATGTAAGTTTTATGATATGCAAAAAGTGATTGAAATTAACCAGGAAAATTTAGAACTTTTGCCTTTGTGTCCAAAAGTCCTTTAAGGTCATGTACATTGATGGCAACTTGACATCTGGTGATCACTCAATGACATTTATTTATATAATATGTAAAATAACATAATTCAATACAAAATCCTCAACTGATACTTGTGTGTAGAAAATACCTAACCAGAGGGACAAAAATTTCTCTTAATTCTCAGAGCACTGACTTTCTTTTTTAATGTTATTGTTGAGAATGTCATTCTTCTTCTGTAAAACAGTATCTCAGAAGTGTCTTTGGGTTTTGATGGCCACCAGTCTCCTCTCATGACTGATCAAGTTTCTGTTAGAAAGGCATGACAACAGCAGGACAACACACACACACACACACAGACACACACAACCTTTGCAGTAATAAGGTAGTTTTTGACTTTCCCAGCAATCTGGAGAAAAAAATGACAGGATCCAAACATCCATACAGCACTTTTCAGGACATCTGTCCTTCTCTGTATCCCCAGAGCAATGTTCGTTATTGGTAACTAACACAATGTAAGTTTTATGATATGCAAAAAGTGATTGAAATTAACCAGGAAAATTAAGAACTTTTGCCTTTGTGTCCAAAAGTTCTTTAAGGTCATGTACATTGATGGCAACTTGACATCTGGTGATCACTCAATGACATTTATTTATATAATATGTAAAATAACATAATTCAATACAAAATCCTCAACTGATACTTGTGTGTAGAAAATACCTAACCAGAGGGACAAAAATTTCTCTTAATTCTCAGAGCAGTGACTTTCTTTTTTAATGTTATTGTTGAGAATGTCATTCTTCTTCTGTAAAACAGTATCTCAGAAGTGTCTTTGGGTTTTGATGGCCACCAGTCTCCTCTCATGACTGATCAAGTTTCTGTTAGAAAGGCATGACAACAGCAGGACAACACACACACACACACACAGACACACACAACCTTTGCAGTAATAAGGTAGTTTTTGACTTTCCCAGCAATCTGGAGAAAAAAATGACAGGATCCAAACATCCATACAGCACTTTTCAGGACATCTGTCCTTCTCTGTATCCCCAGAACAAAATGTTTTTTCCTATGCTTTTATTTATTTATTTGTTTGTTTGTATTCATTTTTGTATATTGTGCTTTTATGTTTATGCTTTGTAAAGCACCTATTGCTATTATTGAGTACAACTGTGACTTGTATGCCAAGGCTGGTCATGTTACTGTATGTGTCTATGAGAGGGCGACCTGCTCCATGTGAAATAAACAGCTTTTTCTAAAAATGTCTGAACTTTCTATCTTATGTTTAGTAAATATCATTTTAATAATATTTCTTAAACATGCAGTACATTTCTTTATGTAACTATTTTAATGAGCAAAAATTACCTTTAAATATTCCATGAGCATGATGAGAATGCCAGAAAACTTATCAACAAGCAAAATATTTACCTTGATACAGTGAAACAATTTGACATTTGATTGTTTGTGATTGTGGTAAGGGAGAGACGGAATATCTTGCCTTGAATACAAATTATAAATATTTATAAATATGATGTGCTACCAAAGAGGAAGTAGGTCCTTCACCAAGTAATATTCTTAATTTGTCATTTTCATGGAGTGACTGGAACTCAGGAATGTTCTGCTGTATTTGACTGTACAGTGAGTCTCTTAAGGATGTGTATTTGTCACAGTGGAGGAGGAAGTGTTCCTCCGTCTCAACTGATCCAGATTTACATTCATTACAGATTCGCTCTTCTTTAGGTAACCACGTCATTTTATGTCGTCCTCTTTCTATGGCTAGCTGGTGGTCACTTAGTCAGTACTTCGTCAGTAAATGTCTGTGTGTTATATACCTGACTGAGACCAGATATTTAGCCAGACTGTACTCTCTGTTGAGTTTCAAATAACATTGTAGACGACTTTGGTCTTTGGCTTGTTCTTTCCAATGCTGTATGTATGTCTCCTTCTCTTCATTCATAATTTCTTTGATTCTTCCATGTTTTTCAGGGTTGGTGATATTGAGTGCTTTGTTAGTCAGATCTGACACCATTACACAAAGATGACTTTTTTTGAGCACTCTTTTTTGCACTTGCTTTAAAATGAAGAGCATCTTCAGAACTAGAGTTTAAGTGGATCCAGAACTTTACAACTCTTTTTTTAATGATTAGATTTAGGGGGAGGCGGCCTAACTCCGCTCTGCATGCGTTATTAGGCGTGTTTCTGTGGAACTCTACATGCAGAGCTTCTAAAGTGTGTTTGTGCCAATCCTTATGGCTGTAGTTACTCGTTGGGCCCCAGATCTCGCTTCCATACAGGGCAATAGGCAGTATGACACTATCGAAAATCTTTGTTCAAATTCTGATGGGGATGTTTATTTTGAATAATTTTGTTCGTATGGCGTGCAGTGGCCTGTGGGCTTTTATAAGTAATGTTTCAATTGATAATTTGAAATTTCCTGTGGGAGTTAAAACCAGACCAAGATAATTATATTGTAAAGCATGTTGAAGTGTGGTGTTGTTTAAAGTAAATATATGTTTATGTTCTAGATTTCATTTTTTTTCCTGAAATATCATAATCTTAGTTCCCTTTCAGTCAGTCACGTTCGATGTTACGTCAGTTGTGACTGACGAATTTGGGATCTCGCCCGAGAGCCCAATCACCTTCGAGTGTAAACTAAACAAGCCAATGACAGTTGGCGTGCGTGTTTCACCAAGCGCCCCCCGCCCCGCAGCGCGGGTATAAAAGGAGAGCGTGTGCAAATGCACATCAGCTTTTCGCTTCGGAGCCGAGCCTTCTCAGGACGAATCTCCGCGAGTGTTTGGAAACAGCTGGCGTTGGTGTTACGGCATGTCAGCGGGGGTTGCCATCCAGGCTGCTGAAACCTCGGCGAGCTGCAGCTGCCATTCTGCGGTCTCGTCGTGACCTCCCCTGGGTGCTTCAGCACTCTCTCTAAAAGAGTGTTTTCCTTTTCAAAAAAAGAGAAGGACAAAGACAGGTAGACCTGTTTGCCTCCCCAGACACGTCCCATTGCCAGTTGTTTTACTCCCTGGCTGAGGGGACCCTCGGCACGG